CGCGCGATCTCTCTTCTGGTCTACCCTCACCCCTTACTTACTTACACACACACACATACGCTTACATGTACTACATTACCACAAATGCCGCAGGAGACCAGTCGGAAGCTTAGAGCTTGTCCCGGCTGGGGCGGTGCCCCGCTGGAGGGAGATACCTGGTTGGGGAAATCCCTGCAAGCTAGGTCGGCGCCAGATCTCGCCACCCAGTGGGGGAAGATCTCCATCATCTCCCACTTACGAGACACTCACTACACTAATTGCCTTAACAGTTAACGCGCCCGAAATCACTAATCAAACTATCAATCGGAGATCCGGATTTAATTCGCATTAAATCCATTAAATAGTTGATAGTTGACCATCCAATCCAGTCGAAATAATTCAACTTAATATGTATATGAGTTAGGGTAGGGACCCCACACTTCAAGACAACGGCCACGGATTGCCTTCTCCCTCATAGTACGTCACACTTGGTTTTTAACATGTTTTTTTAAGTTAAATAAGTCACAAATTAATTAATTAAATAAGCAATGTGCCATATCTATTAGCTGGTTCCCGACGTTCAATTCCCGAATCCGCCAAGTTGCTGATGACCACAGAATAGAGACGGCGAGGAAGTTGAGACCTGCTCTGAGAGTTTAGGAACTTTTTTTTTTAATTTTCTTTCATTCACAAGATAATTTTGAATTGGATTAATGTGGTGGCGTGCATTTTCAAACCAGGGTAATTGATCGATACAAAAATATGTAAATTGGTTAAATATTAATTTTCAGATCTAGTGATTTCTCGTTGTTTGCAATCTTCATCGATTACCTGCACGCATGTGCACTTACTACCGGTTAATATTAAGTTATTTCACAGCTGCTGGTGCTGAATATTACAATCACTATACCGCTGTTAAATTAAATATTTTCGAGTTTCAGAAGCAAATTAGAAAAAGAAAATTCATTCACAGACAACTCCAATCAATAATAGCAAGGGAAAAAGAAAAATGTGCCATCTTTGGCAATCAAAATCTACCTCAAATGAGCCCTGTAGGTATTTGCGCTCTGCTCTCTCCAGGGCCGACGCGCTGCGGAGGGGCTTTTCGGAAGACCTGAATGCGCGGACCAAATTTACACGAGATTACCTTAAGATTCAAGGGTCGATGTCAGTTTTCAGTAATTTTCGGTTTGTATGGCCAATGTATGATTTAAAACCCCTTATTTCTGTGCAAAAAAAGGCCAAAGTCAAAAGTCGATTCAATCTCCTAATTTCACATCGATTACATTGGACTACGATTGATTTGTTCATTTCGATAGTGTAAGAAAACCAACCATTTTGTAAATCTTTCAATACTGACATTGGCCCTTCTTGCTCCAAGCCACATATATATGTATGTGCGTATTTATGTATATGTACAAACACGCGCAGGGAGATGCTCACGCAGAAGCACACATACGCACTGTGTGAAATAATCTGGAACTCATTTTTTACGTAGTTGAACCTATTGAAATTTAGTCACAATTGTAATATACACCTCATTTAATATTAGTAACCCTTTTGACTTGTGACGATATAATTTTCTCACAATTCCCTTCATTGTATTTATTTCTAATGCTCTCTATTATTAGAATGGCATTTCACACATATTTCATGAAAAAAGTAAAAGTAGTAGGGCTAAATGGTTGATAAGTTATTGAGAATTCTCCAAAGATACATCATTAACATCTACTAATGCATCATACTTTCTTTAAAAAATATCCTTAACACGTCTGTAAATAGTATATGTAGACTATCCAAGTGATTAGACAATGTGACTACATGTACTAGATACACAATAATTTTTCATCATAAGGAGTGATATTATAAAACAACATACTACAATACACTAAAACAGGTTTGTTACATTCAATTTCAATGATATACTCAGTGCCAAAATCAGTTGTGTCTCAGGAAATCCATTATCCTTTGAGAAATCAAATAAGATTAGGCATTTGCTTTAAGCAATAAATTTTGAAAATATTAATTGCAGTATTTGTAATATTCATTTATAATTAGCCACTTCAGGCACTTTCCATTCATTCAACTTATTTTCTACAACTGAGATTATGACACTGAGTAGGAATATTCTTTACAAAATAAATAAAATTAATGATCTCTTAAACTAAACAGCAAGCACTTCAAGGCCATTTTTCTAGCATTAAAAATATTTTATAACCAAAGAATACTGTAGCCTTTAGCATTATAAAACAGAAAATATCTTATCACAAAATTGATAACAATATTAATGCAAGTTATTTTCTGCAATATTCTCCTTGTGTACCCTTTAATAAACAATTCCTTTTATCCTTTAGTATACACTTAAATCATTCATGATTCAATATTGAAATACAGCACAAAGTCCCTGTGTTACTCAGAAACAAGAGTCAAGTAAAAGGAAATACTATTGAAGCATTGTGTTAACAAAATTCTACACAAGCTTAGTTGCGTATATTTCTATATTTAGTAGCTATATTTCTCCTAAGTACATGTTCTGAAGAAAAGAGATTTCATGTTCTTGCCAAACACCGCTGCATGACATGTTGCATACCAATCAGGGGCAAATGTATGTATATCTTCCTTATTTAAGATTTCCTACTGCTTATTCTTTGGCAATAACGAAACATGTTTGAAACCCTTAGCACCCTAAAAGGTTGTAACATTTCTTCTGGGACATCTGTATATGCAAGGGCAGAGCAGAGTGATTTTCAAATTTTATTATGTCATGAAGAAGGACAAACACAGTCAAAATGTTGGCTTTCACATTGTTTATGGATAATCACTTTTTTAACTCACTCTAAACACTAAACAACTAAACTCAAGTACCTTCTAACAAAGCATTAGAAAACCATTTAAATACACTTCTTAATGATAGCAACAAATTGTGTGAAGATACTTGAGAACACAACAGGGGGCAATCAAAACATAAGATAAATAAAAGTCATTATTTCATAACACACAAACTGATCATTAATGTCAATTAATGTCAAAACAATTAATATCTTTTGGACACCTCCTTTTCAGGTTCTGTTCAAATTTAGACAGCCTTATTTAGTTAAATTCATGGGAGTGTGACACAGGTATTTAATATTTAAATTGCCTTTCTGTGCTACCAAATGTTTGAGACAGTACAACCTGATTATGATGAGTTATGAATGATTTTTGAATGTTTGTTATAATATATGAAAGCATTTCTCTGTTTGAGAAACCTTTTTGTAGTATGTTAAAAATTAAATCTTTTACCTCCTGAAAATGAGTAAGTTAATATGGCATACTTAACTTTTGTAGCAGCTTTTATAGTTGTCCACCACACATGGAATGGACATAAGTTCCTTTCTAATTTTTATGAAATGAAATAAATTATATCATACCAATGAAATCACTTATTCATCCAACACTGAAATATCAAAGATAAGGCAGTCATTGTGATACTAATTGATTCTTAATGACATGATTTAAATTTGATTCCAACATTATAGGAAGATTGAGCCCCCAATATTGAAAATCAACATATGCCATTCACTTATTATATTGTTTATGTAATCCTGAGCTCTCCTCATATAAAACCAAATTCTTATAAGCTCCAGAAGAAATGTATTACAGTTATGGAAAAATCTCTATTAATTAAGTTGAGGATGTTAAGATCAAGCAAAGTATTATTTGACTAAAATGCAAATTCCAAGAACAATAAATGAATTTCACCCTATTCCACAAAAATTACTTGCATTTTAAAAAGAAATGTTTATATTCTGAAGCAAATTCTTAATGATTTTCATTACAAATTAAATAAATTACTAGAACCGAATATCTCACTTACCAAATTGCAAAAATTTCTATTTGAAATTTCAGCCTAAATTAAGTTGAATGAAAAACTGTGATACACACACACAATACAGTAATTTGAATGAGGAATTAAATGAGTAAAGAAGCAAGCAAGTGAATAAGAGAGATCAAAATAAAATAGTGAAAGAGAAAACTGATGTAAAATGAGAAAATTAAAATTAGAAAGATACCTATGAAATACGACAGTATAAGAAAGGAAAACTGAAGTGAATCACCATTATTCAGATTACTAATGTAGCTCACATTTAGTGGCATAATGTAATGGCAGATAATGTAGACAGTAAACATTATCTTCTCACTGAAGGAAAATGTTAGGAAAAGATAAACGGATTATGGAACATATATTTATAAACAACATATTTTTCTTCAATTCCTCAGAACTGACTGATTTGTCACTGAACTTGAATGTTATAGTTCTGAGTAGTTATGTAGTGGGGAATAGTTGGGTGACGTTGAACTTTTTAACATTCTGCATGGTTTGAATAATTTAACCATTATTTTTATTATGGCCATGGCCGCGGTCAGGGGACTACAGGATTACTCCACTTTGAACTAATGTGGAATTGCCACTTGGAAAAATCCCTGCCTTGCTGCTGTCTATCCATTTGATTTTGTCATGCAATGCTACTATAAGATTATTTCATTTGCCTGTAGAAGAGAACAAAAACAAAAGGCAATAAATCTAAGTTCCAAAAGCAGGTAAAGTGCAGTGCTGCAGGCTAGTTCATAAACAATTTGACTAAAAAGCATGTGAAAAAATTATGCAAACAGTAACACATGCTTTTAAAAGCAACAGAAAGAAAAACAAAAGAGTTCTCCAAAAATTATGTTTATCAAAGAATGACTGTGTGAATTTAATAATACTGAATATTAATGGTGTGGCCCTCATTGTTTGAATTTAGATGAAATATTTACAGACATGCAGTGACTAATATTTGCCTTTTTAAAACAATTTAACATAATAAAAATTGTTGCTGTGAGTAACAAGAAACTGTTAGGAACTTAAAACATCTTCTCAATTGAGATAATGGTCTATATAAGAATAGTTTATAATTCATCTCTTAGTTCAGCAAAACTCCTACAGCTTGACCTTGAAGCGCTGCCTAGATTGATTTGGAATTCCTATATTGAAAACGCACCCGGCAACCATCCCTAATGTAGCAAGTGCATAGAACGATCCAAACCAATACAGGAGCTCACGTGCTCGTGCTATCTGCATTGCCGTCATTCGTTCTCGCATCTGATTTTGCATTTGTATTTGTCGCTCAACCTGAAATGCAAAAATGTTTAATGCATAAGTACATGAATATGAAAGGCAAATTGGAATGTCAGATGCAGTAGGTCAAAATTTTAATTTGTTTCTTTATTTTCATCTTCAATTAAAAAAGAAAAAGTCACTATCAGTAACATATTTTAAATGATAACTGAAAGATTTTGTATTTAGTATTTACTTGTCTGTCCGGGTAACGTTGCGTCCATGGCGAAAGTGCCGACATTTCGGTCGCCATTCTGCGACCTACCTTACTCTCTGAGGAAGGTCGCAGAATGGCGACCGAAACGTCGGCACCTTCGCCATAGACGCGGCGTCACCCGGCCAGCCAAGTAAATACTGACTCCGGCCGCGGAAGCCTACGCTCTCACTTGAAAGATTTTGTTTCCAGCTCAGAACAAAACTTTGGGACTCAAAAATGGTTTATGAAATATTTTAAATAAAGCAATAAGGACATATAACCACTCTACTCGTGTACTTCCCCATTCTCCCTGCTCAGAAAATGCTTAAATACAATAAGAAAACGTAACTCAAAAGAAACAATAACTAGTGAGGGAGAAAGATGATCTGCTCATGCTGACTCCTCAGGGGATATAAGAAAATGAATAACTGAGCAAACAGTAACTTTAAAAGTTGCCAGACAGCTAATTTTCACGAGAAATACCTTCTTTATTGATTAAAAACAATGAAATTATTGATATTTGTTGCAAGTCAGGTGTATTGCATTCTAATGTAAATTCAAACTCCAGCACTCCTACAAACTTTGATTCAATGACTTTACCAGTTTTATGTAGTCAACATCTCAAATGGCATATACACACAAGAAATATATAAAAAGGCTACCTGCAAAATATATATAGGAGAATAAAATAAGAAAAGGAGAATGATTGTAATCACTTCACTTCACTTTTATAGTTAATCTCAATTTCTATTTCTTTTTTTCATTATGTTTAAAATGTTATTTTGATAACACAAATAAATATTATTTTATTTAGCACCAGAAACACAGGTAAAATATACAAAGATAAATATTGTTAAAGAAGAGTAATTTTAAAATCTGCATAAATTTCATAGGTGCAGAAGCACATTTCGTAATACTAACAGTATACTTTAAAAGAAACTACTTATTGCAGGTTTCATTAGATGTGTGTTTTAATAAAGATATACACATCTTTTTGCTATTAAAAAGCTTTCATTGAACTGAGAACTGCTTTATTAGCTTAAAATAATATTTGAATATAAAAATTTGTGATCTTTTGACTGTCACAAATATTTCCCATTAAATTATTTTTAAAAATTCACCTTTATTTTGATTTGATAAAATTAGTTATCTTCGACATTATTTGCAAAGTAACAATAAAATTCCTTTTATTTGAATGAAGAAAATTAGTACATTGGTTATCTCTTTTCATAAAGATGTACGTGTCTCATGCAGACACCTGTTATAGCCAATTTTAAAGAATGTGCCCAAATAACCTCGATATTATTTTATTTCAAGTATAGAACCGCAGTGTAGCCTAGTATAGTAGGACAGTGTAGCCTTGGACTCTCTTCTATTGTATTACTATTTAAAGTCTCAAAAGAGTATTAAAAAATTAAAAAATTACATTTATATTCATGTTAATCCAGACTTCAAAAAGGAAATTTAACACACATTATTACATTTATTACCTTAGATGATAAATTATGCAACAATGAAGTTTATCCCAATCAACAATTTATTCATTATTTAGAAATTTTTTTTGATGTGATCCCCAAACAATATCATCAACAAAAAAAAATTAGGCTCTCATAAACACCAAGTTGTTATTGTTTGTTTGTTTTTAATTTGTGCTTGTTCAACTTCTTACCTTTTGATCAATAAAGATGCATTCCCAATAAATTTGATGTGCAAGCAGCGCTTAAAGATACATTTTGTTTCCTCAATCTTCAGCTCTTAGATAAAGTTCCCCCTAAGGAGACTGTTGTAAATGAGATACCCTAAGAGTAGAAGTCCCTCCCAAATGCCCTACATTATTACATCTATCTTATGAGTTTACTGTTACGCATGGGAATGTTTGGGCAGTATTTAAATACTTGTATTTGAAATAAGTATTTTAAAATACATTTTGTATTTGAAAAAATGTATTTTAAACACATTTTGTATTTGAAAAACTTTATTTTGAGTTTTTTGACATGTATTTTAGAGATATATTTAAATATATAAAGTAGATGTATTAAAAAAAAGAAATACTTCAAATACAGATGAAGATCGTTTAGAAAGAGGATAGATTATTTTTATTTTATTTCGCTAGTGAATGAACTTCACTGGAACAAAAATAAAAGCTGTTTTCAGCTGTTGAATTTGGATTCTCTTCATTTTTAAATGATAAATCTAAATCAATAAAAATGCTGGACAATTACATAGCAATGAAAAAAGGGTGATATAACACACTTGTTTATGTTCATCCATGCCAGTTGAATGACTGTTTTCCTTTGCAGGTTTTATACATTCACCAACTAGGGGTTTGATGAATCGTTCGAAAAAATAGTCGTTTTAAAAGGAAATTCTGTTTCTTTGTGTGACATATTTTTGATATCATTTTATAATAATAATAATAATAATAATAATAATAATAATAATAATAATAATAATAATAACAATAATAATAATAATATTTATTGAGACACATATACAATTACAATTGTGTATGTCTTGGGTGGAGAGAGCAAAGTTACATTACTGTGCAGGAACAATCAAGGGGCCATCTCAGCATTTGCTCAAGGGACCAGGAAAACTGAACAAAACCTGATCAAGATGAAGTATATATTTGAACATGTTTATAAATATGGTTAAAATACATTGCAATACTTATTGTTCAGAAGTTTGTTTGACTGTCAATATACTAATTTACTGTAATTGACAATTACAATAAATTGTTTCAATAAAAAATATTTACAAAATTATTATATATTTACAGTACCTATTTTCAGTATTTGAAGTATTTCAAATACGTATGTATTTAGCACATCAAGTCCTAATTTTTTTGTGTATGTATTTAAATACCAGTACTTATTTATAAAGTATTTAAGAGACTTATTTAAATACTGAATTTAAAGTATTTTGCCCAGCTCTGTCCTTAGGGAAACGTTCTGCCGCCATTAGCGTGCTATTTCACTTCAAACTAAGGAGGTCTTCAAACAGTCACGAGAGGGTCGTCAGGCGTATGGAAAGTGTTTTGTTGTGTTCGGTAACGTGACAACTAATGCTGCATAACCCAAGTTATGTTTCTCTAAGTGCTGTATGTGAATTTTTAATGTTCAGACGGTACAAATGCGATGAGTGTTGAAAAGAACACCATATCCATATGAGAAACAGCGAAAAATGTAGAAACAAAAGAGGCTTTTTTACAGCAAGAGGCATATGGTACATATTTTTTAAAAGTATGTGACTTTTAAACCCAGATTTTTAAAGTCTGCCGAATGAAGGTCGAGGTACACTGCATTGGCTATAACCTGGAGGTTACAGGCGTCTCCAGCACCAAATGATTGTGTGTGTAGGGGGAGGGGGGTCGAAAATCGAGACTTGAAAGGTACAGAAAACCGAGAAATCTCCTCCATTATATCCTGCATACAATATTTGTATGTGTCCGTGTGTGTGTGTGTGTGTGGGGGGGGGGGGCATTCCTTACCGTCGCGGCCGGTAGTGACGCCCATGCCTGAAGCCAACGAAGAAAGCAGACTGAATTTGTGTCTAGTATAACTAGGTTCAATTTTTTAAATTGTATCTATCAGAATTAAAATTATTTTAAAACTCCTCTGTTCAGTGATCATTGGTACCATCTTTATCTTATTAAACTCATCATCCCCAGCATTTGACGCGATAACACAAGATAACCCTGGAACCGATGGCGAGTTCTGTCATCGATTGAAGTGCCTACGACCAAACAAAATTATAGAAATAAATATTTTCAATATTTTAGAAACGAATTGAATATTAGGAAAAATCTACAGATATTTAAGAGGTTATAGTAAAAAACTCGAGAAATCGCCATGAAACAACGATAAACACGTAAAGGATTCGCCACCACTTGCTGCCGCTCATGGTGACTCATCCGGCCGCTTCGTACCGTGTGCTTTAAACTGCGCTATTTATAAGTGCTCCAGTCATAGCTGTTTTCGTGTATAATCTTAGCTGTTCTCAGCCATGCGCGGTGATACGCACCGATACGACATAATATGAACTTGTGAGGGAAACTCTATATACCGTGTGTGCGTCCCGATTGAGTGCTTTTACTTTATTGTTTTTGTGGTTGTGTTTTTAGGATTTTGCTTGCCATATACGTTTAACGCATTTTTCTGATTTGTTTGCTAACTTGCATACAAATATTTTTGAACGTCTGGGATTTAAAGAATAAAGTGATAGAGTTGAAACATGCGCGTGAGATACCGAACTAATATGTTATTTCGTTTTACGTTTTACTGATACGATATTTTGTTAATTGTAGTCGTGACCTAAGTGTTGTTGTTTCTCACAATAAAGTTCAAGTATTTCAAAACATTTTCTCCTAAATTTACTTGTAAAGATCAACAGGTTACAGGGCCAGATTCGTCTGCGAGAGAATTTAGTTATTTGACTACATGAGAAGCACGGTCGGCAAGCAAATTTTGAAGTATCAGTGGCCCAAAAGGAAGGCCTTGATCATTGTGCGATTCGATAATTTTTCAAGAATTTCGGATGTGATTTCGACAAGGGGTATCGATAGATTCAACGGCAAAATTTTCAAGCACGGAAATTTCAAATATCCGCCATTTTGGAGGCATAGTCAAGAACATTGCCAACGAAACTAGTCAAGCACACGAAGAAACGATCGCTAACGATATTGCAGCATGGAAGAATGAAGAAGCCAATGTGATAGATTTGTTATGGTATATGCAGGGTGTCTAGGGTGGAAACGTCGAAACTTCGAAAATGAACTCTGAAGGCAATTTATAAACAATTTGGTCTAATAAACGCATTGGATATTTCGAATGGTTGAGCCGCAAAAAGCACTCAAAAGATGAGTTGAAAATATACGTTCAATGCAAAAATTTGTATTGCAGAAACATATCAACACTCCAGAGACTTGTAAATTGTTTATTATTTGTAATGTGTTAATTTTTAATGTGTACAGATATTATTGTAACTATTTTATCTGAATAAATTAATGAATCTATATTTGATTAATTAACACATTTATTACAAGTATGAAAATAAATATTTCTTTAAAAAACATTCAAAAGTTCGCCTTATGAAATTTTCATTGGCCGAAATTCGTCCGCCCCCAAAAATTGCGTGCTACAGGCTACAGCCTACTCAGCCTGTTCGGTAATCTGGCACTGCCAAATAAAATGGGTATGCTGTGAACGTGATGAAAACTGGTGCGACTTCCGAATTTTCCATTACGTTCTCACAAAATTAACGTTATTTGTTTACAATTATCGTGGTTGATTTACCAACAAAACGGTGTAAAACTTCGCACACAAAAAGGTCAGTAAATGTTTCACAAAGAGACATAAAAATATTCTTACCGTAATTTTGTTCATTTCAGTAATGAATTCTTGATTTCTTCGGAGATTTTCCTCCATGCTTTTCGTTATAATAGTCCCCATATCCTCGATGAATGTCACGTAGACAATGAAACCTGAAAAGAAATTTGAAATCTTAAACGAAAAACAGAGAAAGAGAAGAGTCATAAAATATTATTGGATCTACAAAGAAATAACGGAGGAGGAAGAATTGTTTTACAAAACTATACTGTCGAGTTGACAAGTAAAAGGATTCCCTATTAAGCTGTTACTTCTTTGAATGGATGAAACAGGTCTGGCACAATAAAGTGAGCATCGGGTTTGTGCTTTGTGATTGATCATAAGCGATCTCTTATAAAGCACTCTCGAGCGAGAGTGGCTTCGGGGATACGGGATAAGGGGTTGGAAGGGGAATTGAGGAAAGTTCCTTCCCTCCCAATATTTTCAAGTACGTACGGTAATCTTCTAATTTCATTGTTTTTACTACAGTACCGCCAGCGTGTAAAGCGAATCTATCAGTTCTCTCGCCATGTGCTGTGGAACGTCTTGTGACCTGCTCTGAAGCAATCACCTTGCGAAGATTTGTATACTTTCTCACACCCAGGGTTCAGTGTTGCCGGTCATCTGACTCACACGAAGTCGCAGAGGCGATAAGGCTCGGCTGTGGCGAAGGTCACCTGACGTGCCGTCACCTGACAGTAAGTGTTAATGATTTATCTGTCTTGTAAGTGGTGCCAGGAGCGTAGTAATGTGTGGCAACAGCGCATCGATCTATCAGAGACGCTTATATGCGGTCGCTGCTGTAAAGCCTCTTTCAGTAAACAAATAAATAATAGTGATTTATTTCTGTGTATACACTTTATTAAAACAAATATTTATTACTTATATAACAAATACTCTGCGGCGAAAATCGGCAAAATAACTCGTATCGTCGGTTCTTGGTAACGAAAAGCTACATAAATCTACCTCCTCAATGTAGTAAATTACTTCCTCCAACACTCTTCCTCTAACTTTGGGGGTCCGATGTCGCCCAGGGTCTCGGTGGTCTAGGCGATGCTAGTAAACCTAGGGCCGAATTCATAGTCGTCTCTTACACTGAGTGTTCCCTTAAGTGGTCGAATCGTATTCATAAACAGCCCTTGAGTGAAATCTTAAGTGAGTACTCATTCTTATAAGCGAAGCAGCCTGCTCCCTTAAGTGTCCCTTATGGCTCCCTCGCATCGTCAGTCGTAACCAATTTAGGTTATACTTTTACTTCGACTATTGAATTCGTTTTCCTGGTGTTTGTATATTGTAGTAGTGTTTGTATAGTGTAGTTAAAACCTATCATTTGTGAAACGTGTTATGGAAAACGACTTCAAAGATTAATTTGAGTTTTATACTCTACACATCCTGCGAAATTCGCAGAGGTATATTAGAGATACGAGCAACCCATTGAAAATGTAGTGTAACGTATTAGCCAGCGTGCCTCGTGGCATCTATTTGGGGACGCTTGCCAGGATTAGCCTTGCCACAGGAAGAAGGGTTTTTCCGTAAA